AGGGGTAAGTCAGTGTGATTGCATGACACTGGTGATGGGGATGCCATACAGATTCATGTCAAAAATACCGAACTATCCCTTTAACTTCAACAGTCAAAGGCAGCTCTAAACAAATAGGTCTATAACTTTGATTTAAAAGAACTCTTTTCCAGACTTCTGGTAGTTTGTTGTAGATCAGTGGAGCATAGAAACTAAATTCTGCTTCTCCATGTTCTGTTCTAGTTCTGGAAGTAGAAGACCCGAGTGGTCTGGGAGGTAGATACACTGACCATAGATCTGTTATGTATTGAGATGCTGATCCATAGTGATTTCTAGACTGACAGAAGGATTAAAGTCTATTCTCTGAGCTACAGGGAGCCAGAGGAGGGACTTCAGAACTGAGCTGATGTGTTCTACTTTCTTAGTTCTAGTGAGGATGCAGGCAGCGGGTCCAGTGAGTCCAGTCTTAACATGAGGACTTGATGAGATGAATGGAGTCTGGTGCTACTGCTTGGTTTGAAAGAAAACCTGCAGCCACACGGCCTTTTCTGGAACCACTTTGACGCCCCTGCTTTAGGCAAACCTATGAAGACACTGTTGCAGGCATCAGTTCTACTAAAGATAAATGCATGATTGAGCTTTTTTAGATCCTGCTGGACATTTATCTTTCAATCCTAGAAATGTTCTTCAGGTGATAAAAGGCTGCCTTTATGTGCCTCTGAAGGTTCAGGTCTGAGTCCATCAGGACACCAAGATTTCAGCCATAATCAGCATGTATGAAGCTAGCAGTTTACCTTAACCCATCAGGTTGTCCTGGTGATATCATATGATATAATCATATATGATCCAGGGTCATTCTGCCTCTGTGCTGCTTCCACAGGTTCTAGCTGCGAATGTCCCCCAATCCAGTTAAACATCAGCGCTGACTCAGGTCCAAAGGAACCAGAAAAACCATCAGCTCCATCACGGTCTTTCCAGTCCAGCTTCCACAGCTTGTTGCTGAGGTCTGGAGCTGTGTGTCTGCCTGGTAAGCAGCAGAACGTCTGTGAATGGTAAACCTGTCCTGACCTCCAGACCTGACCAGTCCTTATTCCGTGTTAGAACATGTTTGAAGTATTTGGATTAGCAGTGTGTGTCTCCGTTAGGAACCAGAGACAGAGGAGGACGAACGCTGCTCACCGTCTCCACCTCCAACCCCATCTGGCTGAACCCAGACTGTGACCATGAGGAGCTGCTCAGCATCCTGCTCTACTACACCTCTACCCTCAGGTATGCAGCTCATCCTGCCACAACACTCTGGTCCAGGTGGTTGGTCTCCCTCTGACATCATTTCCTGTGTGACACAGTACGGAGGCTCGAGCAAGGGGGCTGACGGTGTTGGTGGATGCCCGCAGTGCTGCTCCTCCTTCTGTCCTCTTCTCTGCCCTCTGGACTCTGCAGGTCAGTCTGGAAAAATTAGACAACGGTCACAAGGTCAGAAACCATTACCAAAAACCATTACCAGAAACCATTACCAGAACCAAAGAAATATATGTAATCAGATCAGGATCTTATCGATCATAAACCAGTTTCTGATCCACTGCGAACCAGTTTCTGATCCGCTGGAACCAGTTTCTGATCCGCTGGAACCAGTTTCTGATCCGCTGGAACCAGTTTTGATTCACTGGAACCAGTTTCTGATTCACTGTGAACCAGTTTCTGATTTACTGGAACCAGTTTCTGATTCACTGGGAACCAGTTTCTGATTCACTGTGAACCAGTTTCTGAATCACTGGAACCTGTTTCTGATCCACTGGAACCTGTTTCTGATCCACTGGAACCAGTTTCTGATCCACTGGAACCAGTTTCTGATTCACTGGAACCAGTTTCTGATCCACTGGAACCAGTTTCTGATCCACTGGAACCAGTTTCTGATCCACTGGAACCAGTTTCTGATTCACTGGAACCAGTTTCTGATCCACTGTGGTAATTCTGGTAATTACAGTCATGGCCAAAAGTATCTAGAACGACACAAATGTTGTATTTCCAGCTGATCTGCTGCCCTCTAGTGTTCATGTCAGATGTTGCATCACATCCAGAAATACCAAAGCTTTTAATGACAGAATGAGTTCATGCAGCAGGTCAATATCTGCAGTGTTGACTCCTCTTCTTCAGGACATTTCTCCCTGGCTGCTCTCAATCAGCTTCTGGACCAAATCCTGACTGATAGCGTCCATTCTGCTCCATCAATGCTTGCATTTGGTCAGAAGGTTTTCGTTTGTCCGTCCGTCTCTTGATGATTGACCACAAGTTTCCAATGGGATTAAGATGAGGGGAGTTTCCAGGCCATGGACCCAACATCTCTCTGTTTTGTTCCCTGAGCCAGTTAGATATCAGCTTTGCTTTATGGCGAGGTGCTCCATCATGCTGGAAAGGGCATCGTTCATCACCAAGCTGCTCTGGGACGGTTGGGAGAAGTTGCTCTGGGACGGTTGGGAGAAGTTGCTCTGGGACGGTTGGGAGAAGTTGCTCTGGGACGGTTGGGAGAAG